TTTAAATGAAGCCTTACACGACGTCTATAGATAATGTGATTGCTTGGTTGTCCTCCTAACTCTTACATCCATACAGCTCAAGCCTCATAGACATTTGAGAACCTTCCCATTTAAGAATTACAAATCGTATGAGTCTTGCCTTGATGGGCTCAGGTCCAAGGACTTGTTCAACCACAGTATCCCCGTCAGTATTACCTTGGAATTCCTTGCAATAAGGCAAAACATTTTCGGGTTAAATACTATGAAGATATTTCAGAAACATGATCAGTCCTAAAACATATCTCATATCTAGGCTACCACACTTCAAAGACCGTGGAGCATAGGTTGGACTAATGTGGGGGATTAAGGGGCGGTGGGGGGAGGGGGGATAGCCTCCAACGCAGACGTTCTTGGTGTCTCATAGAAGGCGGACGGTTCTGGGGAAGTGCCCCTGCCTCGACACCCTGAGAGGGGAGCCTCCGGGTGAAAGTATCAGGGATCCTCGAAGTATTTCAGGGGTTAAGATAAGAGACGGATTTGATTTTCTTTTAGGGTATTGAAATTGAAATTTAGAGCCCCGCATTACTCTGGTGAAGAAATAGAAAACGCGCGCGCGTGCTGTGTGCTGTCATAAAGCACGCGGGGGTTGGCAGAACACGAGAGAAGTGTTAGGAGAAGCACGACAGGTAGCGGAGTGCTTTTGGACACTTCTCGAGTTTTCTGCCAATCCCCAAGTGTTTTATGACTGCACACAGCACAGCACAGCAAGCAAGTTTTTTATTTCTTTTATAAAATACAAATTACAATAACAGATAGGAATGACGCAACGGAAAGTGCGCGCGCGTGCAATGTGCTCTCATAAAGCGCGCGCTCCAAACCAATCAAAACGCGACATTCATAACAGTTATTTCATAATATCTTTTAGGGCATCGAACAAGAAACTCCAAGTATATTATAATATCCACTCAGTAGATCAGACAAGCATACATGTCAGCCATTCGAAAACAATTTTTTTAAATTTCATGATTAATTTATGAGGTAAAAATTCGTCAACAAGCCACGCCCATTTATAAAACCTGCATCCCCCGATACTTTTACCCTGGAGTCAGCGAACCCCCGGGAAATAAACTGTAAGTAGAGTTTGCTAGTTCTCTCTCGCTTCCAAGGTTTACTCCGTGTTCCCTGTTTTTTTTTTTTCTTTCGCAAAAACCAACGAGCTAAATGAATGGCAAATTCAATCTTTTTGTTAGCCATGCCTTGACTTAGATCAGCCTAGAGGTTGTTTCAGAGTTCAATCTTTGAGTTAGCCATGCCCTGACTTAGATCAGCCCAGAGGTTGTTTCAGGGTTCAATCTTTGAGTTAGCCATGCCCTGACTTTGATCAGCCCGGAGGATGTTTCAGGGTTCTATCTGAGAGTTAGCCATGCCCTGACTTAGATCAGCCCAGAGGTTGTTTCAGGGTTCAATCTGTGAGCTAGCCATGCCCTGACTTAGATCAGCCCAGAGGTTGTTTCAGGGTTCAATCTGTGAGTTAGCCATGCCCTGCCTTAGATCAGCCCAGAGGTTGTTTCAAGATTCTATCTTCGAGTTAGCCGTGCCCTGACTTAGATCAGCCCAGAGGTTGTTTCAGGGTTCGATAACTAATATAAAATGGACTGCTTCAGTATCATATCTCAACTTACCTTCGCCAATCTTGTGTTCCTATCTAGGTAATCAGCCCAGGTACTTCCATCAAAGCTGTATTGAAGGGTGTACTTTTTGACCCAGTCGCTATATTGGGTAGATCTGCCTTGGGTTGCAACTTTAGTGATATAGAAAACATTCCGCAGATCCACCTGAAGCCATTCCCCCGAGGAGACACTATCACTTGAACACCAAGCGGAAGACCTATAACCCAGTAAATTTAAAACACCAGTTTCTGTGTTGCGTAGACGGGCCAAATGAGCGCCATAATCGGCTTTTAAGGTACCGCCGTAACGGACGCTGCTTGCCGTTATTGCTGAATCGAGGATTCCTCCGTTCTCCATCCCAAGAGGTTCGATACATTTGTGAGTAAAACTCGCTGAAACAAATAAAATGTAATTGAGATACGAGTGCGTTTTGATTGGTCAAAAAATTGCAACAATGTTTTTATAAGTTCTAATTCAATTAATGTGTGAGTTAACCGTGCCCTGACTTAGATCAGTTGAGAGGTTATTTCATGGTTCGGTCTGTAAGTTATTAGCCGTGCCCTGACTTAGATCAGCCCAGAGGTTGTTTCAGGGTTTGATCTGTGAGTTAGCCGTGCCCTGACTTAGATCAGCCCAGAGGTTGTTTCANTTTGGAAGTTGGTACCCCTCAATCTGTTCAACATAAAATAATGTATCAAATTAGAACAAAAAAATGTAATAATGGGTACAAATAAAGTTCTTCTTCTCTAAAATAGGTGTTTAACCACATAAAGACTAAATTGAGTTCGTCTGGTGCTCATTCTTGAAAAAAGGATACTCTTGCGTATGGTCATTTGAAAAAAGGATACCCTTAAATATGTTCAAGGATACCCTTGCACATGGGTCAAAGATACCCTTAAATATGGTCATTTGAAAAAGGAAAGCCGTAGCGAAAAGTCCTCTTACTGGATGTGAACAGTCGTAAAAGTAGTTTATGATTTACCAACCCTACTTAACACTTAGGCTCTGGAACTCACAGCGTGTTCGAGCTACGAAGTTCATGCGTGATGATTACCGTACGAATAGCTCAGTAGTGCGTGACTTATTCGTATGAAAGTGCTGAAAAAGCATGAAGGAATGCGGTGATTCTTGAAGTTTGGAGACATTTTACATAGATAATATAAGTATTCTATACAGTGTCAATATAGCACAATCGTTTAGCATTTCAGGTCTACTGAGGTCTACAGAACTTACTCAGTAATTTGTACAAATTTGTACGATTTTTCAGTTTTTCACGGAGATATGCGCTATGCGCTCTACTCATAACTACTTGTAGTTGCGTATTTAGGTATTTTTTCCTTCTTCTTTTTTGATTTTTCAATTTATGAAAATATACGCGGCATGTCACGATGCTGATGTACACAGTTGATGTACGTTGCGTTGAAAAGGTACGGTACAGTGTACCAATCGAAATAATAATAATAATAATAATAATAATAATAATAATAAAAAAAGCAACTTCCGTAAATTATGCGTTTTGACTTAGCTAGAGTATAATAATTAGACGGGCTGATGTTGGTCTTCCACTCCCCCCACAATTTTATAAGCCTTGCTACAGGCCTGTTGTGTTTATGTATTCAAATGTTTATTCTTGTATTTGGATAATAGTTCATAGCATAGTGTATTACTCGGGCCACTGTAGAAAACTGTATGTTGATAATTTTATATCAATGTACCAACTGCTGACAAATTCCATCTTAAAATTCGATTCTTCGTTATGATTCTAAAATAAACTCTATTTTTTGCCCAGTGAACTAGAAGTCGTAACACCAATCTGTTGTCCTTGCGTATTATGACGTCATGGTATCTTAGTTATGCAAATGAGGATGGTATAATACTCAACTGATGTTATACGCCTAAGTGATTCGATTTTTTAATTTAGATTCGTGGTTTCTTGATCATCATTACGTCTGACTTGGCTCACGACTCAAGGCATATGCTTAGAGACAACAGTGAGTCTAAAATAGACACAAGTTTTTTTCAAGGAAGCCACTCTTTTCGGGTAAAAAAGCGCTTTGAAATCATTAACGTTTATGTTAGCTATTCTCAACCCCCGACTGTAGTCAATTAGGCATATTGAACGACACTGAACTGGCTTTTATTCAAGGCGGGTGGGAGGACATTTTAGCGGGCTTCGAAGATGGCTTTGGTTCGTCTTTGGAAGCTCTTAACTCGAGTCAAAGAGATCGACAATAATGATTCAGATTCTCCTCTCAAACGCTGTTTAAATGTGTACGATTTGACATTCTTGGGAGTTGGAGCAACAGTAGGAGCAGGTCTGTATGTTGTGACGGGTCAAATCGCTCGTGATGTTGCAGGTCCTGGTGTTGTCCTCTCGTTCTTCATCGCTGCTGTAGCGGCTTTCCTCTCGGGAATATGTTACGCCGAATTTGGATGTCGAATCACCAAAGCTGGCTCCGCTTATATGTATACTTACACGTCCCTTGGCGAAATCTGGGCCTTCATCATCGGTTGGAACATGATATTAGAGTATGTCATTGGTACGGCGTCTCTTGGTCGAGCTAGTAGCGAGTACATCGATTCGATTTGTGGCGGTGCGTTGCATAAATTCTGGATCAAACATGTCGGAGAATGGCATGTAGAAGGCCTTGGAACTTACCCGGACTTCATAGCCTTTTTTCTGGTAATCTTCATCTCACTGGTGGTCGGACTCGGCGCGAAACATTCAGCTATCTTCAACAAGGTCGTCACGGGAGTGAACATGCTAGTCGTTGTGTTCGTGGTAGCAGTTGGGATTTTCCATGTCAACCCTAAGAATTGGGTTGGGGATAATCAGTTCTTGCCGTACGGAGTGTCTGGGATTCTAGCCGGAGCTGCTAGCTGTTTTTATTGCTTTGTCGGCTTTGATGTGATAGCGACGGCATCTGAAGAAACTCTGAATCCCAAGAGATCTATACCTCTGTCCATCATGATGAGCTTGATCATCAGCTTCTTGGCCTACTTCGGAGTGGCTACTGTTTTGACTCTGATGGTCTCGTACAAGGACTTGGACAAGATCGCACCTCTACCAGAAGCATTCAAACGTGTTGGGCTACCAGGAGCGAAATATGTCATCGCGATTGGAGGGCTGTGCGCGCTGTTTGGTTCCCTCATGAGCGGCATCTTTGCTGTACCAAGAATCATGTACTCCATGTCAACCGATGGATTGATCTTTGGTTGGTTTGCGAAGGTGTACGCTCGTACGAACATCCCTATCAACTCCTTGATGGCTGCTGGACTTTTATCCGCGGTCCTATCGCTATGCCTTGACCTGAAACAACTCGTAGAGATGCTTTCTATAGGAACTCTCCTTGCATATTCCCTCGTTTCCACATCCGTTCTTGTCCTTCGCTTTCAACCAGGAGTGGAAAGCGTTGCGTATGACAATGAAGAGGGCTCCAAAAAATCAGGATACAGCGTGATCTGCTGTAGGCCTCACTTAGACGAACAACCAGCCATTGAATACAAACCGATCGAGGCACATGGAGAAGAAAAGGAAGAAGTTAAGGTTGGTGCATTACTATCATAACCATACAGACAGATAATCAAATTATTTTTGAACAAAAAACAGGAATACGGTATATATTACTTATATATATTGTCATATACTTAGCGATAGTTAGCTAATTTTACCCGTTAAAAGGATAACATAATAATAATATTAGAATTGAATTTATAAAATATCAAATATCTACGAAAGTTGCTTAATTTATTATTATTTTTTTATAAAATAGCCGATCTGTAAAAAGGTCATCAGTCTGTTTATCATATATTTTATTTACAGTTTCTATATTTTCGTTTTTAGCCTTTATAGCCGAAATAATTTGTAAGTTTATAAGAAAGGAAGAAATAAGCTTAAAGCGACTGGTAATTTTTTTGGATATTTGATTATTTTATACGGAGTTATACGTTTCGTAATGATAAACATCTTGAATACAAATCCAAGCAGAGCTATCGAAAGATTCAAACGAAACCTCACAGGAAACCATCGTCTGCATTTTCAATGTCATCGATATATTTTATTTTTTTATTTCGTTTCGCGAAGAGAAAACTTAAAAACTTAAAGCTTAAAGCGGAATTTTCCGGTTCGACAAATGAAAAAATTGATACCCTTCAATATCCACTGAAGTCAATAATAGCGCGGCCTATCAATCTTTGAAACGTCACCTTTCGGTATTGTACACCATTATTCATAAAAGAATTGATATTTCGAAAACAGATGCTGACTGAATCCTACAGTATCTATTTCATCCCTAATAGTTTAGTCATCAAANCTGTGAGTTAGCCGTGCCCTGACTTAGATCAGCCCAGAGGTTGTTTCAGGGTTCTATCTGTGAGTTAGCCATGCCCTGACTTAGATCAGCCTAGAGGTTGTTTAATTTTAAAGGCACTGTAAATTAGTACCCTCATTTAACGAACTATCGAGTCCTACCTAGGCATTCGACTGCAAAAGTTTCTGTCCGTACGACACAGTTCTTGTAGATAGGACATTGTGTTAGCTGTCTGCACGCGAACATTTTATGGATGCAAGTAAACGAATCCCAAGCGAAGTCTGGTTTACAAACCTCTATGGCCGCACATGAAGATGATGTACAAGGATTCTAAATGAAACCAAAAGTAAATGAATAATTGGTGACATGTTAAATGTTTGAGGGTAAGGCCAGAGTGAGGAGCAAGAGGAACGGATCAGCTAGCGGGGAGGGAGAAAAATAAAATTACTTAAAGCGAACCTAACTCCTGATACAATATACTTCCCATTATACCTCACAAATAATCCTCCAATAAGATCTCCGTAATATAGTGACGTGGCGATCCATTATTTTACGATGTAGCACAGCATGCTATTGGACTGCTCATAAACTCATTCTTATAGCACTATAGTGGTCTTTTTATCCAAAACATTATTCGTTGGATATAATAAAACACCTATATGTAGGTTTGATCCTCGCCATTTATGGTACACTATTTTAAATCTCAACTTCATTATTCTACCATGGGCTTGGATGAATCCAATAAGTGTATACAGTATTGATTCTAAATAAAATGAATAGTTGAATGTTGAAATATTTCATTTGAATTTTGCGTCTTTAAGTTATGAAGGCTTATACTTAAAATTTGTATATTGTATGAAGCCTGGGGTGACGTCACAGTCATAAACATATTGGAATTATAAACCTTTGTAACTTAAACACGCAACATTCAAATGAAGAAATATTTCACCATTCAACTATTCACTTTATTTAGAATCAATACTGAATGTATTGTACCAGGGGTTGGGGGGAGAATATTTAAACGCCCGTTCTTCTCCCTTCACAGACGGGAGAAATTCAACTGACCGATCGTTCGACCATCTGATCGACAAAGCAACCAAGCGAACGAACAAACGGCCAATCGCGATCGACCGACCAATCATAAAATATTCAACTAACCTTAATAGGACAGTATGCGGCGCCTTCCTTTACTACCAAGTGATCAGGGAATCCCACGTGATCTATATCACTCAGCTCACACGTCCTACTCATTCCTCGTGTGGGACCCAAGTTGTACGACACGCATGCGTCATTCATAAAGCACTCGTGTTGACATTGTTCCAGGCCTGGGGAAAGCACGTTGGATGTGTGGATGGTGTGGTTGACTAAGGTCTTGTTTTTGATGCAATCTAGAAAAACCAGGTCTCTGCAGCCATCAGATGCTAGGAATATATAGGGGAAATCATTCTATGATTAATTCTATTCTATTCTATTCTATTTCATATCGTTTATGATAAGGGCATGAAGTAGATGATGAGATTATCTTTAAGCTGTTCAGCAAGAAGAAGAAGAAGAAGAAGACGAAGAAGAAAAAGAAGAAGAAGAAAAAGAAGAAGAAGAAGAAGACGAAGAAGAAGAAGAAGAAGAAGAAGACGAAGAAGAAGAAGAAAAAGAAGAAGAAGAAGAGGAAGAAGGAGAAGAAGAAGAAGATCAAGAAGAAGAAGAAGAAGAAGAAAAAGAAGAAGAAGAAGAAGAAAAAGAAGAAGATATTTCGCTGTCTTCGATACCTTCCCCAGTATTTTTCTAACTAGTTAATTCTCAATGACCATTATACAACGACTCAAAATATGACGACCAATTTGAATAAGTATAGTTCTGGACAAGAGAATATTAAGTACTTCATATTCTCTTGTTCTGGAGTGACTATAGCCTCTATTTTTCTGCTTGTTTCCACGGGAACATGAGGCTACTGTATAGTCAGTCCTCCAGAACAATAGCTCTTCAAATTGGTCGCCATATTTCGATTCGGTGCATAAATTAAACATTTAGATAATTAATTGACAGAACTGAAATGACTTGAATGATCAAGCACCATACACTGCGTGCTGTTATAATCACTCATTAACAATTTATGTTGTATAATCACTCATTTCTAGCCATAAAACTTGCCTTGTTTTCAAAGATAATCTTTAGCATTTTAAATTTAAATTTTCTCTCATTCCTCCGTAATATTTTTTTTAGCTTTACTAGGTGTCTTTAAAATAATGATAAATGATTAAAATAGATAAATAATAAAATCGATTTTAAAGAAATTGTCTAACTAAAAATATATAAATTTAACTAAGCAAAACTTTGTTTTTGATAACAAACTCGTGACATTTTAAAATTCGTTTCTTTCCTATTTCTCCTTAATTTTTCTTGCTTCACTCGGTACCTTTAAAAATGATAAATAATTTGTCTAAAAATCGCTTTGAAAGAAAGGTTTTCATTAAGAAAATATAAACTTAACTAAACAAAGAAGAAAAAAAAACGTGCTGGTTTTTAGAAATAATGACTTTGACATTTCATAGTTTCCCTTCCTTCTTAATTCTTAGCTTTACTTTTAAAAAAAAGTACATAGAAAGGATTTTACTATGAAACATATAAATTTAACTACTAACAGTCAAACTTTGATATAGATGGTAAAAATTCTAGTTTCTAGGAACAGAATTGTAAAATTAACTCGGTATTGCGGGTATTTTTTGATATATGGTTCCCAGAATGAAAAAAATAAATAGGGATTTATATATTGAAATTACACACAATATGGGTGCCATTAAGTATTAAAGTAAACTCGATCATTCGTATTTCTGAACAGATTAATTTTCTCTGATTCGCCGCTGCTTGAATTTAAAATTTCATGATGAAATGCCAAGTTTCTTACGTTAGAATACTGAAAAATATCCAAAACAAAGAATTTTTGACTTGATCTCAATCTTCCTTCTTGGAATATCAACTTCAGAGATTTTTTAGTACTGAGTTAAAAGTTGCAATTAAATTTGGTGCTTTGAGACTTAGAATTCACGTAGCTACCCCTCCCCAAACCCATAAATTATCTATGGTCACGACATTCCATAGACACGTACTCTTAGAAACTTTGTGCTTTCTGAAAATGTCATGGACACACTTTGATTGACGTCCACTAATAAATTTGTATTTTAAATGAAGCCTTACACGACGTCTATAGATAATGTGATTGCTTGGTTGTCCTCCTAACTCTTACATCCATACAGCTCAAGCCTNTTGTACACCATTATTCATAAAAGAATTGATATTTCGAAAACAGATGCTGACTGAATCCTACAGTATCTATTTCATCCCTAATAGTTTAGTCATCATTCGTTAAAAAAAAAAAAAAAAAAAAAAAAAAAAAAAAAAAGAGTTCGATACGAACTTGCGAAGTTAAAGTTACTGTCGCGATAAATCGAATCCATTTATTCATTGTGTAAATATTTGTGGTTTTCCTAGATAAAGGTTTTTTTCTTTGAGAAGGAGAATTCATTCCATGGTGTTTGTATTAAGTTTGGTTTCTGGATCAATGAAGGATTTGTGTTTTAATTATGGTATTTTTTCCCATCACATAATAAAATGAATATTCGAATACTGTAGTATCGGCAAGTTTTTGGTTTTCACTTTTGATATCAAAAAAAAAAAAAAAAAAAAAAAATTGTAAGTTCTTTATAAACAACGACAGTCTTTATAGCGAACATTAATCTTAAGAAACTGGTAAAGATTATTTTATGGCTATACATTTATTTTAATTACGAACGCAACAGGAAACTAAAAAAATGGTCGCAAGCGGGAAAAAAACAAAATGCTAATGAACTATTCTATACTCTTTGAATGATTCTGTCGTTGAACTTGTCTTTCTCTTTTAGCTATCCTTTCTTAGGACCTTCGCTTAATGAAAGCATGTTTTATAGCGAGCAGGTTTTGTCTTAACTTTGAGAGAGGAGATTTTGACTTTTCGTTTTATATATAAGGTTGATATTAAGCCCTCTAATTTATGTCATTTCCCTTATATGTTTAGTCTTCGCTTTTTTTTAATTCTTCGTGGTTTTTAAACAATGTACTTCGATTGAATTGTGGTTTACTTCATCCTTTTTTACTTAGTAAGCTAAAGGTGAACGGTATTGACAGTTTTCTTTGCATTAGAGGCGCTGAAAACGGAGATACGAAGGAAGCAAGCATAATGGCTCGAGGCAAAATTACACTACTCGCGATTGAAAAAATAAATAGGGTAGTTCTTCCTCGGAAACTTTCTTTTCTAAGGATCAGAAACCTCGGAGATTTTACTTGGCCCACGATATAGAAAACAAATTATAATTAGTGACTAAATAACAACCCAAAGTAAAACGAAAAAAACAAAAACAAAAACCAAACAAAAACCAAACCGATCCAAACAAAACAAAAAACAAAAACTAATAGAACGAGTGTCTACTAATATTATTATGCTTAGAACTTTTCACCGGCCAAGTGGAATCTTTTTGTAAATTTATGATAATATTCTCACATTCAATCCATATTTTGAGTCCCTTTAAACCACTGCTCTTACGTGTGGCGCTTAGGAGAGCGTAGGAGTATTAAGACAATAGACGACAAAGTGCTGTCACACGGTCCAATGATCGACATCCCAGCGGATGCGTAGGCTTTACAAATCTTTTTTCCTCTTTGATTTAAATATCGAAAGAATCGATAACAGGAAATCCAATATATACTTTTAAAATTTCCGAATCTAACCTTCAGCCTATAATTTTTTTATTGAATTGTGAAACAACCGCTCTGCGTTGGTTGATTTAACTGAGTCGGGGCTAGGCTAACTCCCATGCAGATCTAATCCTGAAACAAACTCTAGGCTGATCTAAGTCAGGGCATGGTTAACTCACAGATCAAACCCTGAAACAACCTCTG